GGAATTCCAGTTCGAGAAGGTGACTTAGAGGATTCATGTAGATTCTTGAGGAAAGTATGGATAGGTGTGGAAGGTAGTACTAGGCCCGTACAACTGAAATCACAAGATACGTACTCGATTCGGGAATCGTCACGAGGATTCTAAGAATGTCGTTAGAGGGTTGATGTGCAGGTTTCTGTTTAGTCGGTAAAGTATGATGAATTAATGATGATATTATGGTTATGAAGTGATAGTTTGGTTTCGTTTAATAGGATTTCGACGTCTAGTCAGGAAGCAGAGCCCTCCGAGATTGGTGCGGACAACGCATGATTACGTGACTGGATTGCAACTGAGGTTTCACACATTTTACTGTAAGAGTTTCCTGATATTGTTGGTCGGATCACTGATAGGTTAACTGTCAAATTCGAGGAGTGGACTGCAATCTTATGGGTTTCAAGGGAGATTGTTGAGGCTACTAGAGAAGGAAGTCTTGATGTGGAGGCATGAAAAGGAAAGAGAAGGACGACACACAGTTCAGAGCATCTGGAGAGATGTGTAGAATTCGATACAACTAACCTAAGTATTGGAAGTCAGGGGGAATTTGATATATGTGGCAAGTGTGGGGGAACTCATGGGTTTGCTTTTCATAAGTTCGGGTGTTTCAAGTATGGAGAAAGAGGGCATGTGCACCGAGATTGTAAAAAGGATCAGATATGTTTTCATTGTCACCAACCGAGTCATTTCAAATCTGGTTGTCCTGTATGGGTGGCGGAGGGAGTGCAGACCCCAACACCCATCGTCCTATAGGAGGTCAAGGTCGCACCTCAAGATATCAATGGTATGTATTTTGATGCTCATTCCTATAATGATATTTTTATCTAGAATAAGTATGTTCTTGGATAGTGTTGTGGCAGCGGATCGGAAATCCCTTTTGCATGGTGAGATTTTTATAACTATGTTGGGAACTCTACAAATTTTAGTGGATTAGGGTGCAATCCTCAGGGTGCCTCAGAAATAATGGTGAGTAGATCGCTCTTGCTATGTTCAAAGCTATGACGCTGGTAAGTTTCTGATGTCTGCATCTAAGGTTCTAGGTTCCTTTATGATTGCTTAGGTCATTGTTAAAAAATTGTCATATGCCTATTTGCACGCCAAGGACGATGTTTAGAGGGTATTTGGATGAGTCGGGTTAGACTTTGATGTGGGAAATGTCAGCCAATGGTAAAGTAAGTTCTAATTAAGGAAAAAGTTATTGTTTTGCTTGAAAGGATTAACTGTCATATTGATTTTTATGGATAAAGGAAGTTGCAGTGTAAGTTTGTTGGACTGTTTTTATTCAAGAGTAAAAGATCCTTCATGGTTGTAAGGTGTAAGGGATTGGTCAGAACGTGGGTGCAAGGCAAGATGCTGCCAGGTTCATGTTTCAGTGATGTGCGTTTGGGTCCTCACATCGTAATTCTTCAGGCCAAGATATGTTTTCATTGTCACCAGCTGAGTTATTTCAAATCCGGTTGTCCTGTATGGGTGGCGGAGGGAGTGCAGACCCCAACACCCATCGTACTACAGGAGGTCAAGGTCGCGCCTCAAGAGATCAATGGTATGTATTTTGATGCTCATTCCTGTAATGATATTTTTATCTAGAATAAGTATGTTCTTGGCCAATGTTGTGGCAGTGGATCGGAAATCCCTTTTGCATGGTGAGATTTTTATATCTATGTTGGGAACTCTACAAATTTTAGTGGATTAGGGTGCAATCCTCAGGGTGCCTCAGAAATAATGGTGAGTAGATCGCTCTTGCTATGTTCAAAGCTATGACGCTGATAAGTTTCTGATGTCCCTATCTAAGGTTCACGGTTCCTTTATGATCGCTTAGGTCATTGTTCAAAAATTGTCATATGCCCATTTTCATACCGAGGACGATGGTTAGAGGGTATTTGCATGATTCGAGTTAGACTTTAACGTGGGCAAGTCGAAAGACAACTCGTTCTCCTAAATGTTTAGTCTTCAATCAAAGATATTAATTTATAATGCTTTTGGAATATCAATTCTAAACCTTAAGTTTCTTACAAAGGATAAAGTACTGACATTTGCAAGAATGTGTAGTGGCTGAAATGAAGTGAGTAGACTGAAACATATAGAAAATAACTTGATCATGAATACCGAGTCCTTGCTAATATTCATAGGATCAAAATACAACTATTTTCTAAAATGTTTAGTCTATGCAAGTTGCCTTACATGTTCTTAAATATATCAAAGGAACAATACATCAAGGAATTATTTTCAACAATACTCCAGAGTTTATGTTGAAGCTTTTTGTAATTCAGATTGAGCAGCTTGTCCTCTCACAAGGTGTTCGAGGTTAGTGGCTATTTCATCTTGTTTAGAGGAAATCCAATTGCATGGGAATTCAAGAAACAACAAATATTTTCTCTTTCTTAAGTTGAGGCTGAGTATATATTTATGAGGAGGGTCTATTCTAAAATGGCATGGCTAAGTCTTTTATAAGATGAATTACAAGTTCAAAATATTACACCTATACCACTAAAGTCTGATAACCTTGCAGCCCTTTACATAGCTAAAAACCTATATTCCACGAAAGAACAAAACACATTGAACTGGGTTGCCGTTTTGAAAGAGAAAGGCTACAATCCGACTCATTTCCTTAACACATGTTCCTAGTACTACTGGGAAGCAATTAACATATGTTTTTACTAAACCTTTAACGAGCCCACAGGAAATTGAAGTTGTTCACAAATTGGATTTACTTTCGTACCCTCCAGATTGAGGGGTGTGAATGTATATGACGTTTTTACAGTTAATTATGACAGTTGTGATACAAGGAGGTTTTCGTAATTTTCTTATGTGTGAGTTATATTAGCTGTATTAGTTTGTTAGAAGGTAGCTTTGGTTTTGTTCATGTATTTATACGTTAATGTTCTTTTCCTGATGAAATGAATAACAATATGTGTGGGTGACCTTATAGTTTCAAATTGACTCTTTAAAACAATAGCATCATGTTGGGAGGATTCAACAATATGCTTATGCTTGGGTGACCTTATAGTTGGTGTGCTATTTGGCAATAAGGTTCCTCGGAAGACGTACTGTCAAAATGAAGTTCGACATCCTTTAAGTATCCAAGATAGGAAAAACAATCCTAGTTTGATTTGAGCCTTACATAACAATATTTTGTTTTGTAGGTTACATTAAATTTTTTGCTGGAATAATCCACTCCATCAAATTTTTAAAAGGGGGCAATAGCAAGTAATTAAGATTAATCCTTTCTCATAAGAAATTTTCTCATAACGAATGTTTTATGATTGCCCCTTCTAATTACTTTATATCCGAGATATAGTGATATAGGGATGTTATTCGGGCCGGAACCGGACTGAACCGAACCGAACCCGAATAACCCGAAAACCGAATAAGGGTAATTGCATGAACAGAAAATCGAATCGATTAACCAATACGGGTTCGGTTCGGTTCGGGTTTTAATTGGTTTGGTTCGGTTATTACCCGAATAACCCGAATAATATAATAACAATGTACTTTATACATCAACATAAAACATTCAAAGACTAACATAACACAATAACACATTGAAAGAATAACATTTACATAGTAGATCAATATAATGAGAATTAATTTCTTACTTAAGTTTCTCTAGTTGGAGCCCAATTTTCCATGACTAGACAAAGTAGGAATTCGTGAATCCTTAAAGACAATAGGAATGGTCGATTTTTAAAAGTTTGAAACAAGAGGAAGGATCGACAGATGTGATTTCGAGTTTGGAAAAATAGATAAGAAGATTAGTCGATTTCGAAACGACGAGAACGAGCATAGGGTTTTTTTTTTCTATTATGAACAACGAGGATAAAAGTGTGAATCGTGATTTTGATTTCTATCGATCAGAGAAAGGAGATGAGGAATGCTTAAACGAGTCGGGTAGTAAGAACCGAATAAACTCTTATTTAGGTAACCCGAACCGAATAAACATAATATAGATACCCAAAACCCGAATCGAATTGCTTATTCGGGCCTAATTCGGTTCGGTTCGGTCCGGGTTTTCGCGCCAAATTCTCATAGCTAAGGTGAATTATATTTCTATCCCAAAATTATTGATATGAATAATATTTCCCCTTGGGGTGGTGTGTTAACATTTTCCACCATGCAATTCCAAAGTGTTCTTGGAATATTAGTATGTCCACCCATAATAAAGACACAAAACTCGGAAATAGGTACACTCGCCAAGTATAGTCGGTTCACTCGCCAAATCATAACATGTCCTCTTCCCAGATAAAGAGTGGTTAATAACTAAGAATAATAAATACCAGAATATGCATATTTTATATTTTAATAACTGATCGATACCAATTTAAGAATGATATAACAATCATTTGACACCGAAATTAAGAAATTCAGATATTCAGTTACAAAATTATGTACTTATTTATATCGCATATATTTCAAAAAGATTCCGTTGGATCATATATTTCAAAATCTTATTGGATTAAAAAAACTATTTAAGGATATTGTGTGAGTTTTTTTTTTTAAGTTTTTTATATTAGTTTTAAATTTACAAATCCAATTGGGTATAGCTTTTATATATTTTAATAGTGGTTCATTTATTTATTTAAATAGATTGATATTTTGGTATCATTCCTAACTAGGTTTATGAAAAAAAGGATCATTATAAAAGTCTTTTAAGCATTTTCGTCAATTATTGCAAAAGTTTCTTTATTGCTTATAATAGCATGTGTTTTCAATTCTGCTTTTTGTGAGTCACACTTGTTAACAAAATGAAACTTAAAGATTTTATTTGTTTTCTTATACGTGACAAAACAAAACGCAAAAAAACACAAGAACCCCATATTACTTTCTTCGTTTTCACATTCCCCTCAAAAGTTTGGTTGCCCTGAAATATCCAGCACGCAAATCACGTTCTGCTAAACCAATCCTTCAAACAGTGTATATATAAGATTATATCTGGTAAGATAGGCCATACACACTTCAACACCATCCCCATGAAATCCTCATCAAGCAGCTTCTCCGGTTCCCACTCTTTCACCAAATCCAACATCGATCAAGAAGGATGGGTTAAAACCATGCGTAAATCCATCATCGAACCCGATGATGAAGAAATATCTAAAATTCCCGTTTGTATCTTCACTGTCCCTAAAGTACTCCTTGCCACCGATCCTGAATCCTATATCCCACAGCAAGTCGCGTTAGGTCCTTTCCACCATTGGCGGGAGGAGGTCTATGACATGCAAAGGTACAAGCTTGAAGCAGCACGACGTACCCAGAAGTTCATGAATACAAGCTTCGAACGCATCGTGGAGTCGATGAGGAAACAAGATGAGGGTCGAATCCGTGCTAGCTACCACAAGTTTCTTGATATGTCTGGAGAGGTACTGGTTTGGATTATGGCTGTTGACATGGCGTTTTTACTGGAGTTCCTTCGCGTGTATTCCATGAAAGAACAAGGTCGAACACTCGAGAAAGTTACATCCTCGATGTCTCATTTGGTGGATACCTCCGGAAAGAAACTTTCGCATATGGCGATTCTTCGTGATTTGGTTATGGTGGAGAACCAGATCCCGTTGTTTCTGATGAAGACGATGGTGGAGCATCAGATTCGAGATGATGAAAACAAGTCCGCAGCAGAGACGTTGAAGTCGATGCTTATGGGGTTGTACCATGAGCTTTCTCCATTTAAAGAACAAGAGTTGCCTGATGTTGACATCGACGACTGTGATCACCTCCTTGACTTTCTTTACCACTTGACTGTGCCAAACAACAAAGAACTGCATATTGAAGCCATTGAGATCGAGTATGAAGGTATCACCGAGGAAGCCGGCGATGGTGATCAAGAGAAAGAATCATTTGCAAAACCTAGTGATCTTCGAAGATTCATGGATTTTATTTGGAAAATCCTTTCCAAATCAAACGCCGCTCTGGTAAAGATTTTCAAGAAAATAATTTTCGGCAAGCCAGTTACAGTTGTAATGAAACTGCCATGGAAGATCTTGTCTAACCTTCCTATACTCAAACTCTTCAAAGAACCCGTAGAAAACATGCTTAGAAACTTTCGTGGTGATGAAGAGCAGAAATCAAAGGACGACAGTAACGATTCTAAGGTGCCATTAATAGAGGAAATAACGATCCCATCCGTCACTGAAATGGCCAAAGCTGGGATCCTTTTCTCACCCGTTAATGGTGGAATCTTAGACATTAGCTTCGATAACCAAACATGTACGCTTTACCTCCCAGTAGTCAATCTGGACGTAAACACAGAGGTGTATTTGAGAAACTTGGTAGCATATGAAGCCTGTGTTGCAGCGGGGCCATTGGTGGTGGCCCGTTACACTGAGCTAATGAATGGAATAATCGACACTGAAGAAGACGCAAAGCTTTTAAGTGAAAGAGGAATAGTTTTGAACCATTTAAAGAGCGACAAAGAGGTTGCAAATTTATGGAATGGCATGAGCAAATCTGTGAAATTAACCAAAGTTCCCAAAATGGATAAGGTTATTGAAGATGTGAATAAAAGGTATGCTAAAACTTGGAGGGTTAAATTGTCGAAGTTCATGAAGAAGTATGTATTTGCATCGTGGAAGATTCTCACATTGTTGGCTGCTTTGTTTATGTTGTTCTTGTCGACTGTTCAAGCTCTCTGCTCTGTGTACAGTTGTGCTCGTGTGCTCCATCAGCTCCCAGAAATTCCAGAAGGGACGATGGAGTGAGTGTATTTTATGTCTGTGTGTCTATTTCTTTATTTAGAAAGTTCATAAGCTCTCTAGGTTTGATGTACTATATTGATCGGTTTTATGTTCCGATTAAAGTTGTTTTTTTTTTTATTTATTTATTTATTTTTTTTTTAAACGGCTACCGTATTCATACTATAGTATATATTATATCCATATCAAACATAGGGCTAACTAGAGTACACCTATTAGCCTCAACCTCTTCTTTTTCCACCATGTAACCGGTGGAAGGACGGTAGGTGTTGAAGTACGGTAGGTGTTCAATGGTAGCTTATAAGTGTTTTAAAAATCTGATATCCGAAATTTTGGATATTGTATCGGAGAAATGACATAAATGCCCCGCGAACTTTCTAGGTTGACATTTTGAGTCCCTAAACTAATTTCATATATTTATAGTGGCATAAGGTTAGAAGCAACCTGTTTTTTTAATCGTTTTAACCTATTATATCAGGTTTTAGTGGACACATCAGCTCTTGGCCATTTAAAAGTCAAAATCATATTTTGACTTTCTCAATAAAAAATGTGGACACATCAGCTCTTTTCCATCTAAAAGTCAAAATCACATTTTGACTTTCTCAATATCAATTTCCATTAGACGGCAATGTGTCACACCCCGAAACCGAAGGCGGAAACGTTTCGGGGCCGAAGACGTAATGCGTAGTATCACAACAGTTGTATCATAGTAAGCAAAGTAAACACAACCATTACATTATAATATGAATATTTACATCTGTTTGAAAACATAGTTTGTACATATCATTATGTTCAAAAACAACAAAAGATAAAGACTGGACTTCAGTATGCTCCGTCTTCTCCAAAAGTGAGCGAAGGTACCTGTCTATCGTTGCCCTGAGAATACAAGCGGTTTTGAAAATGTATCGGCATAAAGCTGGTGAGTTCATAAGCATGTTTTTGTATTGGAAACTAGTCACTGAATTTGTAAAATTGATTCCTTTTCGTTATAAGTAAATATCGTTTGAAAACCCTGGTTATCACCAGTAAGTAGTTTTATTACTCAAATAAAACCAAGAGTTAGATCGCTGGAATACCCTCCAGTAAGTAGATAGGTAGTTTCATTAGTTAAAATAAAAACTATTGAAGAAGAAAATCCCGTAAACAAAGGTTAGTTTGTACTTATTGTGAGTCGGATAACCATGCTGATATGACACGTGACCTCCTTGACGTTTCTTCAGACGTCGTACGATTACAAAATTTGTTACCCTAGGCGTGCCCGCCTAACTGTAGCTAACAGTTCAGGTGTGGGATTGTCAGTCCCGAATAGATCTATTCACAAATTTCACGCTCTCCCTCCAGGAGACTCTGGTTATACTTCCGGAGAGGATTTATTGGTACCCAGAAGGGCATAACGAAGATTAGTCTTACAATCCTGTATTAACTAGTTTATGTGTAGTTCAGTTGTTTTCGAGTTCGAAGTCGTTAGTAAACAATGTAGAGTATAATAATTATACAAAATAATTATTTAGTAAGATACTCTCGTTATTCGCATGGATAAACTAAATCTGTCATAGTTTATTTGTTTGACTTTGCATGGAGTTTGATTCTGTAAAACCGGTAATGAAATCTCCAAACTATACCTATTATAGTTTGATTGATAAGTTATGTTCATGTACTATTCGAAAAACTATGCAATTATGTTTAGAAAATGTCCCTTATGCTCCGCATATTACAAAAGGGATAAAGTATCTAAATGTTTAACGTAAAACCATTGTAATTGCATCAGTTTTTAAGTTGTGAAAACCTCTATGTTTGGCTTGTATTCCCCCCTGAAAACGTTATAAAAACTTATAAAAGCGTAGGGGTATGAACTCACAGTTTAACGTAGGATTCGGATGTACGATCGGTTACGAGTACTGAGTGTCAACTGATGTTTCGTACGCAAGTGAATCCTATTAACATGTGATAACGCATATGTGTGTTAGAATTAGGGTGTTTCATGACTAAACATGACGGGAAACCACCCTAAGCACTTGGAAATGCTTGTCGGGACCCTATATGACCAAACAAGGGAGGTGTACGGTCAAAAGAGTGTGTGTGCGGCCAGGGTGTGCGGACAGGCTGTGTGTGCGGTCGTACATGGGAGTGTGCGGCCGTACAGAGGGGGTGTGCGGCCGTACACAGGAGTGTGCTACCGTACACTCCTCTATTGTGCACGAAATGTCGATTTTGAGGTGTTCTAGTGTTAATACCAAGTCCAACTAGCAAATGGAGGCCAAACTCTTCACTTTGGAGAGTCTTTAAGGTGTGTACGGCCACCTTATGAAGGTGTGCGGCCGTCCACCTTCAAAGGATGAAGAACACGAAGAACACTATGAGTTTTAGGCTTAGATTCAGGTGTCTTACCAATATAACAAGCTGAATGATGAAGTATTTCACGTTTTTGAGGCCTTTAGAGTGTTCTTGGATGAAGTTTTTAGAGAGAGAAAGTAGTGAGAGAAAGTAGAGTGCAGCCAAAGGAAAAGAATGAGTGAAGGGGTCTCCTCATTTATATATAGGAGGGTGTACGGTTGGAGGGTGGGTGTGCGGCCGCACACCCATGTGTACGGCCGTACACTCCTCCCGAGAGGGTGTATGGCCCGAATGTTGTACTACGACTTGGTATTACTCGACCTAGAACTCAACCTTTGATTGTACGAGGCTTAGAAAGTATCATTACACTCTTAAACAGTGTTAAATGACGATAAAATTCGAGTTTAATATTGACAACATTAACTGATCTTACAAGTTAGAAGTTTCGGGTTGTCACATCATCCCCCCGTTAGAGGGAATTTCGTCCCGAAATTTGAATATAGAATACAAATCATGAATTAGGGAAAGAGATGCGAATACTTCTGTTTCATCTGATCTTCGCGCTCCCATGTGAACTCAGGTCCCCGCTTGGCATTCCAGCGAACCTTCACTATCGGGATGCGACTTTGTTTTGTTCGCTTGATCTCCCTATCCATGATTTCGATTGGTTCTTCCACAAAGTTTAGATTCTCGTTGATTTCAATCTCATCGAGAGGAATAGTAAGAGTCTCGTCGGATAAGCACTTCTTAAGGTTCGAGACGTGGAAGACGGGATGAATGTTACTAAGCACTTGAGGCAAACGGAGTTTGTAGGCTACAAGACCGATCCTAGCGAGGATCTCGAATGGCCCTATGTATCTTGGATTCAGCTTTCCACGCTTTCCGAAGCGTATCATGCCTTTCCAGGGCGAGACCCTTAACAGAACACGGTCTCCAACCTGAAATTCCAAGGGTTTTCGTCGTTTATCGGCGTAGCTCTTTTGTCTATCTCGTGAGGCTTTCAGTCGTTCTCGGATTTGTACGATCTTTTCTGTGGTTTCGCGAATGATTTCTGGGCCTGTGAGAGGGCTGTCGGGGACTTGCCCCTTGGCAAGCTGCGTGTCGCCTACCTCAGCCCAGCACAGAGGGGATCTGTACTTGCGACCGTATAAGGCTTCAAACGGCGCAACTTTAATACTGGTGTGGTAGCTGTTGTTGTAGGAGAACTCGACCAAGGGTAAATGGGTGTCCCACGACTTTCCGAAATCGATAACACATGCTCTCAACATCTCTTCCAGGGTCTGGATGGTTCTCTCACTCTGCTCGTCTGTCTGAGGATGATAAGCTGTACTCATGTCCAGCTTAGTTCCAAGAGCCTTCTGCAGTGACTGCCAGAATCTCGAAGTGAACCTGCTATCTCGATCGGAGATAATGGATACAGGTACACCGTGCAGTCGGGCTATCTCTTGGATGTAGATTCGCGTGAGCCTCTCCATTTTGAAGGTTTCTTTGATTGGCAGGAAGTGGGCGGATTTAGTCAATCGATCGACTATCACCCATATGGCGTCGTACCCACTCGGAGATTTGGGTAATTTGGTGATGAAATCCATAGTAATCCTCTCCCACTTCCATTCGGGTATTTCCGGTTGTTGGAGCAGACCTGAGGGCTTCTGATATTCGATTTTTACTTTGGCCCAAGTCAGACACTTGCCCACAAATGTAGCGATCTCCGCTTTCATGTTTGGCCACCAATATAGTTTCTTGAGATCGAGGTACATCTTATCCGAGCCTGGATGAACGGAGTATTTGGTCTTGTGGGCTTCGTTCATGACAATCTTTCTGTACCCTCCGAACTTCGGGGTCCAGATCCGGTTCATGAAATAATAGACTCCGTCTCCCTTGATCTCTAGGTTCTTATCTATTCCTCTCAAGGCCTCATCCGCGACGTTCTCTGGTTTTAGGGCTTCCAGCTGAGCCTCTCTGATTTGTGCGGATAAGTAGGAATGGATATTCATAGTTAGTGCTTTCGCACTGCGAATTGTGTACTCCTTGCGGCTAAGAGCATCCGCTACCACATTGGCTTTGCCGGGATGGTAGCGTATTCCGCACTCATAATCGCTGAGTAGCTCAACCCAACACCGTTGTCGCATGTTCAACTCCTTCTGGTCGAAAATATGTTGCAGACTTTTATGGTCAGTGAAGATAGTGCACTTGGTTCTGTAGAGATAGTGTCTCCATATCTTCAATGCGAAGACCACTGCTCCCAACTCCAGGTCGTGCGTTGTGTAGTTGACTTCGTGTGCTTTCAGCTGTCTCGAGGCATAAGCAATAACTTTTCCTCGCTGCATGAGCACACAGCCCAAGCCCTGATTGGATGCATCACAGTAGACAACGAAGTCTTCCGTCCCTTCGGGCAGAGACAGGATAGGTGCGTTGCATAGGGCCTGCTTCAACGTTTGGAATGCAGTGTCTTGCTTTTCACTCCAACAAAAGGGTACACCTTTCTGAGTCAGAGTGGTTAAGGGTTTGGCAATTCTGGAGAAATTCTGGATAAATCTGCGATAATAGCCAGCGAGACCCAAGAATTGACGAATTTCTGTGGGTGTCTTCGGTGCTGACCAACTCTCTATCGTTTTGATTTTGGAAGGGTCCACGTGAATGCCTTCCTTGCTTACCACGTGACCTAGGAAGGT